AATTAAAAAAATTACAAAAAATTGAAATAAACCAAAAACGTCGGACTCTCAAACTGAATCCTTATTTCCATTTCACAATTTCGAAGGAAAGAGATGAGCTCTGATTAAGAAATGTCCACTATTTATACTGATAACGTTTATTAGGTACCAGTTCTCTAACGGTTTTTAAATGGTCTAATGTCGGTTGGACCACTAAAGTGCGAGCCGTTCGCATTACCGGGTCATGTTCCAGTTCAGTTCTGACAACATTGCTTGGAATGATATCCATAATTCCTCATCTCTTATATGGACTCGGCATATAAATTCCGCCTACAAAGTTTTACGTTGCTAGTTAGTAAAGTGGACTATGGATAGGGGTGCATAACCGGTTCGGTAAACCCGAATCGAACTGAATCGAAATCGAATTAAACTGAAATCAAATTAATGCTATTCGGTTTGAAATTCGGAAGAAAAATATGAATAGTTCGGAAATCAGGGTTCTTCAACCGAAAGGAATTTTTGAATTTTCGACCGAAAAATCGAAATATTGTAATTGCAAGCTCAAAATGGTGGATTTTTATATTTGTAGTTGTTTGTAGACTTAAATATTTGAAATGTTTTATGACTTATGTGTTGAAAATTTTGATTTTATCATTGATGATGCATATAATTGCATGTTTATTGTTTACAATAGGGGTGAAAAATAATTTAAAAATAAGAAGATACAAATAGCTTCACAAATGTCAACACCAGTCATCTAAACGGTTGGAATACACTCCGATTGGACGGGTCTGGACAAATGTCAAAACCGGCTAAACCTATTCAAACTCGGTGGTCTGACTAGTCGAAACTCGATTTGAAGATGGGGATTGATAAATTAAAAAAAAAAAGATTTGGTAATTTATGAATGTAGATTAGTGATATTAGTTTAAAATATATGCATAATCTATTTGGTATTGAATATTTTCTCACATATTATTATAAAATCAACTTGAACTGGTTGAACTCGATTTGACCATTAAACCTCAAACAACTTGTATTTTTTTTATATATATTTAAACCTATTACAAGATGGTGCTACAAGGAGAATTAAAAAAACCCAGTCGCTAGGGCTCGAACAAACGACCTTACAAAGAGAAGTGCGCCGCTCCACAAACTAAGACGGTCCTCGTTCACAACCTCAAACCACTTTTTCAACTGGCTTGATAGACTAATCCGGTTCGACAACCTTGCAAAATACCTCTATTTATTTTGTAAAAAGAATTAAAAGTTTAAAATCCATTTACTTCTAGAAAGAAAAGAGAGGAAAAAAATCCCCTAGAGCGGCTTACCGCTTGCCTCTCGACGGCCCACTTTAACTCAAGAGGAGAGATGGGAGGGAGCGAGTTAAGCCTGAAGAAACCCTAACCCTATCTACGGCCTCGATCTATAAATAGCTGGACTGGTCGCCTGCCTCTTTCCATCGAATGCAAGTTCCTCCGCCGCAACGCCTGAACAGTGGCCGCTCTCTTTCTTCTCCAATTCGTCGTCAATAACTCTTCCTGATTCTTGGGTTTTACTACCTTTTGCTATATCCTCATTTCCCTCTTCCTTTTATCTTCTATTCGTTGCTTGTTTGCTGGTGAAATCTGTTTTCTTTTAATCGTCTTTCTTTTCCTGTTTTGATGAGAATGGAACCGAGGGAGGCTGTGATGTAGAAAAACTACCTATTTTACGAGAGGATTCTTCCTCTGTGATTATAGAACCAATGGGTACTTCTGAGTCTCTCCTTCAATTTCATAAAGTTCCAATTTTTACCCAATTTTTGTTCTTTTTCTCATCTATGTTTGTTTGAAAAATGTTTTTATCTTGGAAGGTAGACATGGGGATGTGATGATGATGTATACGGAAGATATTATCAGTGTCGACTAAAACAATTCAGACTACAATTATCTGATTCCCTCTTGGCTCATTTTTTGACTCAAAACTTTCGTTGATTCCTCTTCGTTAATGGTCCAGGCCAAAACTGTATAGTTGCTTACTGTGAATCCTTGATTATCACAGATTTCTTACTGCGAATCCTTGATTATCACAGATTTCTTACTGCCAACTGCAAAGAGATCAGAACTGTATGGTCCTCAACAGTTTCCTAGTTGTGAATTTTTGTTTCACTGATTTCTTGGCACCTCTTTCTCTACTTTTTCTGCTACCCCATTTGTATCTCTGCAATTGTATTATAATGATCTCAGTGTCTCAGACTCCCAAGTTTGAAATTGTTTAAATCTCAATAAAAAATCTTGCCATGGTTTAGATGCCTTGTCACTCGCGCAACATTCATGTTCTGGTAGGTGGAAAGTCATCTCAAGTTCAGTGTAACCAAGATACCATATTTTACAGTAGAGTGATGATTCGAGAAACTTGACTGTAGAATCTCAGGCAAATAGCATAGTAACAGTCACAGAACAGAGTCTGGAGATGAACACTATGGCATATGTTCCTAGTAATACTTGGGACAAGAAAATGCTGTTTACGGTGGATTCAGAAAAGGAGGGTTTGTGAAGGTAGTCCTAGTTGTTAAGACTGAAGAGGAGGTTTAGATAACACCCAATTGAAGCATTCAAATGAATATACACAGAAGAGTTTGATATCAGAACCAATTAGTGACAGGTTCATCTAACTACTTGAGTGTTGCATTGAGTGTAGTCAGAACAGGCAGACCATACTCAATTCGGACTAGATTATTACTCAACTCCCAAAATTAGATGTGGCTGTATAGAGTTCACAACATCAACAGTTTCTCTAGTTAAAAACAACTGCCAAATGTTACCTTTTGATATCAAGTCTGTAATCTAGCTTTCAGTATCATTCCTGAGACAAACAGAGTAACCAGCAATCGTGTTCCGGAACTTCACTCCTCCTGCAGTCGCTAGGAAAATATTCAATGTGGGTGCAGTAACCCACCATGGGCATGGTTAAAATATTTAAATATTGACGTTTGGATTAAAATATGGGAATTTGTGTTAGTTTTTGTCTTTTCAATGATGAAATTGATAAATATTATCATTTTGGGAGAGAATTGAGATAAATGAATTGAAGATTGAAGAACTAGAAATTTCATTGATTCAAATTTCCTGCGTTCATTGAAACTTGGAAATTTGTTTAAATTCCTCCATTCGATTCTGATATGAGAAATCTCTAAATTGTTACCCTCTATAATAAATATGAGAAATCTCTACTGTGCAATCTCTCTCTGTGGGATCTCGAAATCCCTGAATCAGAGCAATATGTGTGGTGCTCATCATCCCGGCTCTGCTGAAGTTGGACTGCTCATTGAGAATCAATCTCAAAGTGAACAAGTTCAAACAACGTCCTCTGTTTGATCTCGAATTAGGCCACCATTAGTAGCGTGACCAGAGGAAGGAACTTCCAACAGACCTCCTCCCTCATTCTTGTTGGCAGGCTCAACGTAAGAAGAAGTTGACAAATACATTGTTATATAAAAAGGATGCAACATTTTATACCTGTTAAAAAGATGCAACAAATCTGTTATTTGACAAATACATGGGGAGGGTTGGTACTTGGTAGTCTCCAAATACCAAGTTATATTCTCTTTTTGTTCCAATTTCGTCCTTGTTCCATTTTCATACATCCGAAACTAGCCTCTACTTCTTAGTAGGCTGTTAATGAACCAAACCGCTCATGAACGGCTCGGCGTTCGACTCGAGAAGAACTCGTTCGAAACTCGATTCGTCTTAATCGAGCCGGCTCGCAAATAAGCTCGTTAACTAAACGAGCCGAACTCGAGCCATACCATGTTCAGCTCGAAAGCTCTCGAACAAGCTCATTTAACGTTTTGGCATAAGAAAAGATTAAAATTCATGGATTTTATGTCTTGAAATTGGAATAAATATTGTGTTTTGTTTTGCTAGACTTTTCTATAGGTTTGAATGCAATGTTTTTACCAATTCTAAGTCAATCTTGAGCTTTTATGAACATTTTATGAGCTTAACTCAATTTTGGGCTCTTTAAGCTTATTTGACGAGCCGAGTTCGAACCGAGCTCGAGCTTTCATTTTTCATAAACGAGCCAAGCTCGAGCTTGGAAATATATTAATGAGCCGAGCCCGAACTATGGCAAAACTCAGCTCGGCTCGGATCATTAACAACCCTACTTCTTAGTACAACTTTTTGTCTCTTCTTTATAATTATTCTCAAAACCATTATTTGTTGTCCCTATTGCCTTAATTATGGTTAACACTAACAAAAACTCAAAATGTCTTGACACACTAATCTATTAAAAGACATATAAACTCCATACATATTAGTATCATATACATTAATAAAATATTTTATAACTAATTTGGATATTCTAAAACACACTATTTATAAAACGTCATATAGAACTCCATAAATATTAATACTATAACATATGTACGTCGACCAAAAATGAACACATACTAGCAAGAGATAGGGTTAAGAAGGACAAATAGTTAAAATAACAAATTTGAGTGCAAATATCACATCAACAATATCACTACTTATAATTAATTCATATGTGATATTTCATACAAATACCACATAGCAAATAACATATATTGTGACATGGTATTCGTACGATAACCGGTTCCAAATAACAGGTTTGTTAAATAGCACATCCAAACGACCCATAGGAATCCTCAAACTAAATTACAAGTTAATAACTTCGGTCTAACTTAAATCTACTGCATTTTAACTTGAGTTCTACATGATTTCTTTGGATGGATGATGCACGGTGGATAATCATAACATGTTAATTTTAAAATATCTTTCACTATTAAATTACGATTCTCGTTAATTTGGACCGAACCGGTGCACACTCTAGTTCAATTCGAAGAATGCATGATGGAAGAACAGATGATAGCAGTGCGCTCATGTCCTGTGTAAACGTCCATTCTCCCATTGTGCACATTTTTCAACCGATCAGCCCGCGGAGGAAACCCAGTTCAGGACTCGAGACAAGAGTGTCGTCCCAGGTACAAGTTTTACTTTTTATTTAATTTCTGACACGTATTTTTTATTTAATTTCTGACACGTAAGCATCCCATTACTGGTGAGATTGTGTATAGTCACAGAACGAGTGAAGGAATCTGTTGTATTCAATTAGATAGATGGCCTCTTTACTGTCAGCAACACAAAAAAATCTCAGCAACAAATGGTAAGCACCGTCTACAGGACAGTGCACATCCCAACAATAGCAGCAGCCCAGTTGGAACAAGAAATCACATTCATTCCATCGTCGTCGTCGTCATCATCATCGCCACCTTCCATTTCCTACCCTGCTGTTGTCGTTAGGGTCTCGATACACAGAGGAAGAACTGGATGGATTCCTGGGTCTCGCAGTTTGCCGATGGTTATCGTGGATTCCGGTGTCTCGATACCCTGCTGCCGCCCTTCTGCCTCCTCCTAATACATACCCTCCGCCTCCTCCTCCCCTGCCCATAACCATTTGTTCACCAGGAGACCTACTACGACTAGGGCTATTCTCCGGACTCCACGACTCGAACCCTTCCCCTCTGTAATACTCTTCGTTTCTCCTATACACCGACGTGCTAGTTCCACTGTATACACTCTGATGAATTACATTAGAATACGAGTTGGACCCTACTGCTGCACCAACACCCTGCCTGGCAATCCAGGAATCCTGGGCAGCAGGGACGCGGCCTACATTCACATTCCCTGGCCTAGACGACAAGTATGACGACGACAACACTTGGGGAGATGATTCGCTAAGGAAAGTCTGCCGCTGCTGTTGAAATCGAACCTGTGGCCCCTCTCCCATGGAGACAAAGGATGATGCGTTGCCACCTGGTGTCTGTAGCTCGGGATAATTTGGCGTACTTTGGTGATGACGGAGGTATTGCTGCTGCTGATGATGATGAGAGGGTTGCAATGGCACATTGGGAAGCTCTAGTGGTAAGCTTCTCATGCTACTGGTGGAGGCTAGAGTGTCTGGAAGCACCGAACTGGTGACGATGGTTGTATCGAGATAAGCAGCTGCTCTTCCTCTCTGATTTTGCTGTGAAAATGGGTTCTTGGCAACTTCTGGCTTCCATCCACTCTGCAAATTTACCGTGTTTCGGATTGAAAAGAAGAAAACATGTATTAGTAAGGTTTCCATTTTATACATATATATATATACCCTAAGAACCAAGGTGATATCTATCCAATTTTCCTGCCTAGTTTGGTATGGAAGGTAGTAAAGGCGCTTCAGCTACAGCAAACCATTTTCCCCCATAATGTGTAGAGCATTTTCAACCAGCCAACCCCTAGACCAGAACAAACCCCAAAAAAGCGAAAGGACGAAGTACCCAAATAAAAAGAGCTGCATGAACCATGAACCCCACAGTTTCCACCCGGCAATGTCGACTGAGCTAAGAAAGAAAGTCCGTTTTTCCTGAATGATCACATCTACTGTGTATATAACAAAAAGCCTATTGCTCCCCGGCGGTAAATAGACTAAAGAGATATCAAAATTGTGACAAAACTTGCAGCATGGGCCTGAGTGACGCACCGTTCTAGGATTGCTTGACGAAGGAGTCGGCGACGGGAGAGATACTTCGACCACCTCCGCCCGTTCAACTTTTCCACCACCCGACTCATTTACGCTACTACTACTACTACTACCTACTATGCTGCTGCCACCGCTCTTAATCATATCTAGCAACTTCATAGTTTCATCATTTGATAAATTGCCCGCCTGCCCAGATGTAAGCGCGAAAACCAGTTGCGGATTCTTCAGGAGTACAGCAAGCAGCTCGAGGTCTGGCTCCGCTGCAGGCCCACCACCATCACCATTTTGGGCTACGATGGTGGGACCAGCTGGAGAGGACGATGACGACGATGCAGCCACGGATTTCTTCGGTTCGTTATCATCGGGTACCTCTGTCTTCTCTGTACCATCTGCTGCATCAGGCTGCTGTTCAATTGGAATTTCAGGGGTCAGTGAGTCGTCATAGTCCATGTCGAGGTCCCACGGTTCCTTGGGATTAGATGGTATCTCCTTAGCGACCCTATAAATGATTTCCATCTCTCTGCGATTCCTGTTTTTCTGGACCTCTACTTCTTTGCTGAACTCACCAGTGCCAACACGCCAAAGAAGGTTGAGTCTCACCTCTGCATGAAAGATAGAAGTCGTGTGAAGGGTTGAACTCAGAATGAAAGAAAAATGCTCAACTGATATTCATTTCTTATCGCGGGAAGAAACAATTTTGTTTGTTCCATTAGTGCGAAAATCGAACCAATTTCTATTGTGAAAGAGCCTTCAGTTGGATGTAAACTTCTGAAAACCCAAGCCAAGAAAAGCTTCGCCATTCTGGTTAAAGGATAGATAAGACTTCCCGAATGACGTATCTCAAACTGCAACGTAAAGACAACTACTATATGGGTGACAGACGCACGTTCCAAAGGTCCCCATGTGGTTACAAACAGTACAATTTGACGCCACCCTAGTTATACCCTTGGAAATAAACGAACACTCCACCAGGCCGCCACTGTGTTGCAGTTACACTTTACAATAGTAAATTTAACATGGCTTCTAAGTTTTAACAGATACACAGTTTTGCTAGAATATTGCTCTAATACAAAGGTATTGCCCCAAAAGCAAAACACAAATACATTCCAGAAAGATGATCCATGCTTGAGAAGCTTCAAGACGGAAGAGAAAAGAGGGCAACGCTAAGGAGGCCAAGAGGGTAAAAGGAGGTCGGAAGGTTAAGTAGACCCCAGAAAAGGTTTTGCATGGCCATTGAAGGATGCTAACTAAGAACAAAAATCAATGGGTTGAAAACCAGCTAAATTAAGTTTCCCTTACAGGAAAAGAATATGAAAATGAGAAAGAGAAAGAGCTCAGAGACAGTGTTAGCCTATTACTTGGAGTATAATGTCAGTTCCACAAACCCTCAGACTACCATAGAATAACCAATGTTCGCCAAACTATACAATATATGAGCCACGGATACAGATTGAACTGCATATCCAAAACTAACGTGGTAAGCTTTTATCACAATTTATCACTGTTCTTTCACAGGGTTTAAAATTAAACCTTAAATCCTAGCCTCACAACTCTGATCTCTGGCACGCTTTCACATACACTGAATATAATTATAATCAGATGTTTGTAGTGGATGCAACTGGCAAAGAAGGAGAACCAAAAATGGAGAAAGACCAAACATATTTGTACCTGGTGGTGACTGCCATGGGATCTGGACCCTGGAGTGCAACTGCCCAACTGGCACCTTTGATTCCATTTTTTCTACAGGTACCTTCGGTTCCTTTTCTGTTACAGGTACCTCTGATTCCAATTTTTGTATAGATACCTTTAATTCCATTTTTGCCTCAGTAGCATGGTGGTGATCTTCACCCTTATCAGTAACTTTTACCGCAGTTAAGACAGGTTCCTTGAGTTCTTCATCCTTTGGTTCGACCACAACCTTGGAAACTTGAGAAGAGTTGCCCAACAAAACACCCTGCCCTTTGTTAACTGCTTCGTTATTCATGCTGTTGCTTCCATTGGGTAAACTAGACTTCCTTCCATGCTTGCTCTGCATGTATAAGGCACGCAGTTTTGCCTTTTGGATATCATCTGCAGACATTGGGCGGCCTTGACTAAATGATAAAGCTTTTGCTCCCTGAAGCGTTCTGGAAGCTGATGCTTTCTGGCCAGGCTGCTCAACAAGCTGAACTTTTCTACGTTCTCTGGCATCTGATACTAGCTAAGGTCCACTTATGTCTTCATTCGAAAAAGAAACTCACAGTGGATACGGCCAAAACAAATTAAAAGAACAACACAATATTCTCAAGTAATGAGGGTTGAGGGCACAAAAAAAGAAAAAACAAATTAGTTCCATTTTACCGAACTAGACACGTAGATTGAGCATGCCTGGAGGGGGAATTCGATAGAACAGGAAAACAAAATCATAAGGATACGAGATGGAGATCCACCTAAGATGTGCTTCCTGCTCGCATCTTCGGTGGAAGCAGGCAATAGCTTCATTGTTTGTGAAGACTCCATTTTCCTGATCAGAAACTGAGATCAATACAGCTACTATGCAACTAAAGTCCATCGCAAACACAGACAAAAAATGTCACACACCTGACATTCTCCAAATGATCAGAGGGAAGAGCAAGTGTACCTTCCTGCACCAATTCAAACATAGCTATAAGCCATGATCATGCAAACACTGTCTAAAAGATAGAAGTTTCTCATAAGAACTTACAGCATAGCCAATATCAGGATGCCAAAATTCGTTGCTCATAATTTCATCAATGCTGCACCATTATACAAAGCCCAGCATCAGAAAGTGATCCAGAAAAGGGTAGCGAGTAAGTAAAAACATGGTAGCCATAGACTAACCTTCTCTTCAGTATCATATCCTGGGCATCAGTGGAAGACCCAATGCCATTAGGTTTTTTTGCAGACTGACTTCGGGCAAACATTTTGGTCCACTTCGACAACAAAATCCTTGCCCTGTTCGATATGTCTGACCTCATCATCAGAAAATTGAGATTCAAAACACTAGCAGAGAAATTATATGAACATGTAAAGAAAAACAGCACAGGTGCAACCATACACTAGAAACAAAGGTAGTCATGAAAACATTGACTTTCTCTTTCTATTTTAGGAATTTTAATTAACATCAGCTCGTCGCATACAAATCAAAATCAAGGTAATATCGATTAAGATATCAGCTATCTTATCATAGAAACGAATAACTGGATTTTCAACCTGCAAACCTATACATAACTGGCTCTTAAACCACTACACCAGCAAACCTTAGGCCATAAACACGTTACAATTGCCTTGCTTTCAAGTTTCTTCACGTTGACAATAAGTACAAACAGAGTACAGATGGAGGATAGAAAACACGAACAGCAACGATTAGAAAAAACAATTCATTCAATATTAGCCCAACAATATACCTGATGTCCTGTAAAACCGCAAAGTATTTACACTATGCAGGACGGCTGACATATGTTCAGGGCAAGCATTATGCAAAGGCAAGTGCAAGAGAACCTGCAGATCCCAAAACCATGAAAGTATCAACAAATTTGTGAATCAGAATAACATCATATGACACAGAGCAGCAAGTGATATGCACCCTAAGGGCAACAAGCAGAACACTTGTTTGTTCTTCAGCAGCCGCTAGAGTCAGCCACGTCGCCAGAATCATCACACCACCTTTGCTTAAGAACCTGGAAAAACACATAAGAAAAAGGTTTAACAAAGAAGAGAAAAAGGAAGACTAGCTTACAGTATAGTGAACTAGGACCTACCAATTTAGTACTGTGAGATTCTGGATTTGCAAGACCCATTCCAACAGTTTGACCTGCCCACCAAATGTCTCCTCTTTCTTCAACAAACCAAAAATATTTTCAACAAAATGCTTTTCGGAGTCATCTAAACCAGGCAATATATCTTCCTGTTTTGAGAAAGATGGTCCTCCTTCCAGATCGGAAGGTCCAGCAAACATCAACGAAGATGAATCCGGTGCGAGAGAGTTCAATGGAACATGGTCAGATCCCACAGAAGCTAATGGGACAGTATCGGAGTGGGCGGAAGTCAGAGGGACTGGGTTAGGACCATTGAAATGTAAGGGGACTGTATGAAGGCCCACAGAGCTTGAGATAACTGCAGCTGAGCCAATTGAGCTTACAGGAACTGGATCATGGATAATTGAGTTTAATGGCACTGAATTAAATCTGGTAGAGTCGCCATTCATTTGGATGTTATTTGAAGCTTCTCTAACTGCAATATCTCGAATGCCCTTTTCCCTCACAAGCCTGACCAGTCTCCTTACGCGGGAACGTTGGCTGGTAAAAAACTCACGAACCTATTGTAGAAATAAATGCCACAAAAATCAGCAGTACTTCATACATACACATCAGATCAAATCAAACAGAAACAAAGAAAGTGTCAAGAAAGCTATAAAATATAAATAAGGTGCCATCATGGTATCAGGCTATCAGCATATAAGCTCATCACCCTTCAGACTGGTCTACATATGAATGCAAGAGGGAAGAGCATGACTGCATGACGGAGAAATAAATTTTGAGCAAGGAACAAAGATAACTGGGAAAAAAGCATTAAGAAAATGAAATTACCTTTGTCACTGTTATGCCAAATTGAGCACTAATTTCACGAGATTCCTTCTTCGTGATCGCATCTTTGATAGAGAAAACTGCTTGCATGTACTTTATGGCTTTTGGATTTAGCAAATCTCTAGGTCTTTTACCTGCAAACAAGTGAAAGTTAAATGGACTGCCCTCATTAATGTTGAGGCAGTTTAGAAGGCTGGGTACTCGATCTATGCTTTAGGTCGCCATATTCCAAAGGTCAGCGGCTAAAAGAAATTCCTCGTGGTAAGGAACCCCACCAAGACAAGGTATGAGACCTCGTATGTAATCTTCTGTGACACTACACTATAACTTAAACATATGATACAGAAAGAATTAAATTAAAGGGGCAACATCATATGAAGCTTCAAGCAAGATTTAACTCACCAATTTTAATTGAAAGCGCACCAGCGGCCTGACACAGTAAGAATGCAAACAACAGTCGTCAGTCAGAATCACAAGAGGAGAAAAATTCATGACAAACAAAGATATCCATCAACATTTACAGATTTACTATCCCTTATTATATTTTACTGGATGCAGAAGGAACACGACGGGTCCATTCGAAGGGATAGATACTTCAAATTATTCTGGAAACGGAGTGATGCTATTGCTACCATAAACTAGAAATGGCCGACTTACAAGAAAAAAATAGAAATGGTAACAGAGTAACAGACCAAGTTCCCAATTATGACACATTGGTAAGAAAGAAAGAAAGAAAGAACAGAATCACAGTAAAATCGACCCCAATACAAATCAATTCGGCAAAAGAATGGATCGGTTCTGTTCTTCCTACTCAATACATAACCCAAAAGACTCCAGAATTCAGACACTTCCTCATATAGAAGGTGAAAAATCAACCAGCAGTCGCAAAAAATTTAAGACGTGAAGGTGAAAACTCACCATCTCTTGAGAAAGAGGATTGACACCAGTGAGCTGGCACTGAGTAACGACAATTCTCTGAAGTTGATCGACCTGGCTATGAAAAAGATCCTTCTGCGAATCCATGAATCTCTGAAAGGATGCCGCGGAAGTCGTAATCTCGGTTCCCGCCATGTCCTCCTTTAAGGCCTCCATTATCTAACTGGAAGACTGGAGACTCCAAGCTCGAAGAAACAGAGAAACGCATTACAAAACGGCGTGAATCACTGACGAATTCAGGCGAAATTAGGGACCAAGAAACAAGCCAAAGCAGGGGATTAGGGTTAGGGTTCCGCCGGTGACACAAAGGGACTGGGCCGTGGCCGTGTGTTTGGGACAGGTAGCAACGAAGTATTGTACAAAGGAGGCAGAAAAGACAACAAAATCCCCCAAATTACCGAGTGGGAATGTAAGAACTAGTTGTGAGTTGTGACCAAAACAAACCGGAACCCACCCACTGGTCCAATCCAAATCGACCAACTCGTTCAATCCAAACAGACCAACGTAATATCTAATTTTATAGGTGGATGCCAGTTTTAATTTTTTAAACCAAATCATTATGATCGGATGGATACAACTCGAGAATATCCAAATCGACTCGTGATACTAAATTATGCATCGACCTTGAATTGATATCTAGACCGGAGTTTGCGCCATGGTACTATACTCTAACCGGAGTTTGAGACATGGTACTATATTCTAACTTTTAGAATTAAAATCTATACTAAGATCAATTTAAATTTAATTAGAAATAATAATCGATGGTCATGATTCGTCGAAATCCATCCAACTAATGATATGCACCATTTTAATTAGTGTTCAAGGTATATGATTTAGATAATTAAAATCTAGAGTTCACTCATCAAGGATTGGAGTAGAGTAGCAGTGGACCAAGATTTGTGGATAAAACTTTGAGATGGAAAATTGCTAGTGTCTTGGAGAAAAACAGTCGTAGTGAATTGAGGGAGTTTCACAGTCACAAATTGGATTTTTATCATGAAGTGAGCAGTCAAAGAAATGCCCTCATAAAAGTCAAGAAATGTAATTTTTAGAAAATGGTAGCAACACATAATTAGCATAAACAAACGAGAAAATTTCTAAACGACAAGTCTCGCGCTCACTAGAATATGATCCTATTTACAATGACACTGCCAGTGGCAGAACCATGATTGTTGGGCAGGTGTGTCGACCGATAAAAATAAATAATAAATTAAAATGTTAAATAAATTAAATATAAACTATAATTTAATTCATAAAATTCACAATTTCATTGTTTCTTACAATGAACCACGACCACGTTTCATATTCTGAAAGGTTTGTAACATACATGTGTCCTTTATGTTGGTAATCAAACATTTTTCTATATACACAACTAAACAATCATTCATATATTGGTTACTCAACCGATTTTGAAGATCGTTCTGATTTAACCTCATAGATGGAAACGTTCTTTCGTAGCTTGCAGTTGCAACAGGTAAAGTTAACACTTACTTCATATGGGAAAGCTGGAATGAGAAGTGGTTAGGGTGGTGGCAAGCATCAACGTGAAAGTTTGAATGAGAATGAGGTTGTTGCCAAATGGGCGCCAACAATTGGAGGGTGAAGTAGAGGGTAGAGAGTTGTAAGGTAGGGGTTGGGAATTATTTTCCCTCTTGACACGCGACATACAGATAGAGGAGGAGAGGAAGAAATGTGAATTAAAGGCGTCAGAGGATGATCGGATTTTTGTTTTTGTAGGGATGGATTGATGACACGTAAGTTATACTTAGGGCTGCAAACGAGCCGAGTCGAGTCGAGTTTTTGCTTAGCTTGAGCTCGGTTCGTTTATTAATTTTTCAGCTCGAGCTCGGCTCGAACTCGAATTTTGATAATCCAGCTCGAGCTCGGCTTGAATAAAAATAATCTAGCTCGAGCTCGACTCGGTAGAGCTCGATAAATGCTCATTAACATAGCTTGTCAAGCGGAGTACAAGCTCGGCTCAAGATGAGCTCGATTTAAAATCATTTTTGCTGGAAAAATGTATAAACATAAGAATTTAAATGATAGAAAGAACATTAGAAACTATAAATAACATCTAAATTTCATACACATCTGTATTAGAAGACAATGTTCATGTTTAAAAGAGTAATTCATCCTTCCACAAGCTCAAAATAAGGCAGCTCACGAGCTTAGCTCGACAAGCCACCGAATCAAGCTAGCTCGCGAGCTTATCAAGATGAGCATGGTCTAGCTCAGGCTTGGCTCCTTAACTAACGAGTTGGCTCGCGAGCCGGCTTGTTAAATAACGAGTCGAGTGTCGAATGAGTTTTTTCCGATTCGAACGCCGAGTTGCTCGCGAGCGGCTTGGCTCATTTGCAGCCCTACTATTTTATACCCCTATTTGATGGCATGTTGTACATGGTTTTTCTATCTTTATTGTCATGATAGCTTGGACTTGCTTGATACTTGCTCAAATGTGTGTTCAGTAGCTACTAAGATAACTTTTACATTTGATGCGCTTTTGGTATTATTTCTTGTATTTTCAGGTCAAAGTATCTTAGTTGACAATGTTGAGCGACTGAGAGATATCATGGCCTAGATTCTGAAAGTCACAATCTATGATTGGAGGGAAGCCGAAAAACTAATGAAATTTTGACGGCCTAACCAAAAAAATGGCGTGAAAATTTTCACAATCTATGATTCGAGAGAAATCTGGCTTGACTCCTTGATGAATCTTCTACAATATCTTGCAATTTTCTTCATGGTCTCCAACTTCTGGAATGGCATTCTTTATTTGCTTTTGCCCCAAGAGCTTCCTCCAGAATCATGACTTCTTCAATCTCGACTTTCGCTTTCCCTTCCTAAAATTTAAAGTCTCCAAGAGGCTCCATTAACTTTTGAGAACTAGATGTAGGGGGTTCATGAAATGGTTCTTCAGTTTCAGGAATAACATCCTTCACTTCTTCTCCAAGGGCTTCCTTTGAAATGATGAATTCCTCAGTCTTCGCCTCTACCTCATCTTGCTCAAAGTTTGAGTTTTTCAAATAGGGATGGCAAAAAAACCCGAACCCATGGTTACGCTACCTGACCCAACCCGGTCAACGCGGGTAAAACCCGTGTTGACGGGTTTTGGGTTGGGTTCGGGTTTAAACCCGTTACACTATTCACTGGGTTGGGTTGGATTTGGGTTTAGGTATACTCGCCCCATGGATACCCGCTCACACCCATATAATTAATTTTCTCAGTATATTTAATATTCTAAGCAACTAATCTTCTTTATGTTTGTAGAGACATGTCTAATTTGTTCTTTCTAATTGTGTAGAATGAAGTTGATATTATGGAGTGGAGAGTGAAGAAGCTTAGTTGACAAGAAGGAAGAAGCTTTCAATTAATCATATTTTTTATGGATAATTTGTGATTTGCTTCAATTTTCTTGAGGTTTCTAGATTGGTGTTGAACAATTTGTATGGTTAATTCGTGATTTGATTGAATTTTCTAGAATGGTGTTTTATGTATGGATAATTTGTATGGAGAGATTGATATTTGAATTTTATTTTGATAGGAACTTGTTATTGTATATTTTTATGATAAAAACCCATAGGTACCCATGAACCCGAGAATACCCAGCGAGTTGGGTTGGGTTTGAGTTTTCCAAACCTAGTGGATTTTATCCTGAGTTTTTTTCACGGATAAACCCATGGGTTTAGCTAAACCTGACCCATTGCCATCCCTATTTCGAAAGGTTCTGTTAAACCTTGAATAAGAGGTGTATGGGAGTCATGACATTTGGCCACTTCCTTATAAGTTCCTTTAATGGCTAAAGATGCACAGGCATATTGCGCCAACACATGTAAATTGCTTGTATTCTGCTCGTGCATGATAGCTTCAAATGAAGAAGATTGATGAATTCACCCCAATCATCGTGTATTGCCTTAGTATCTTCTTGCATGAACTGGTGGACCCAGTTAGGACGGTATTCTTCCATGAATGCTTACTTGAGGCATTCCCAAGTTCGGAACGTTCCTGGATAGAAGGAATCAAATCACACTTTCACCTTCCCTTGTAGTGAGTAAGGGAAAAGATGCAATTTCACAGTTTCTTTTGTAACTCCTCGATGGGACATTAGTTCGCACACTTCCAAGAAGTTCTTCACATGACAAATGTAGTTATCTCCATCTCTACCTTCAAACAGTCAAGCTCCACGAATAATTTGAGTCGACATAGTATGAGCTCGAAATCGTCTTTAGAAGTTGCAGCCTTGCAGGTTCCTCTGAATGTGGCAGCTTCTCGCCTAAAATGCTCCTTCTTTGCTTGAATTAGTGGAGGATCCTCAACGATGGCTTCCAAGGTTGATGTAATGCTTTCATCATCTTCTAAGGAATCCATAAAAGTTTGGATGATTGAATATTTTTCAAAACTAAGACTTTCTTCATCCATTGCACCTTCCAGAGGGGGTCTCTCACCTTCTACTCCTTCCAAAGGTTGAGTTGTAAACTTCTCTTCCTTTTCTTCGTTTGAAAATTTTTAGATGGCTTCGGTTTCTATAGAGGAAATAATGTCGTTCTTTTTCCATAGGATGTTTGCTAGCATCAAGAACCTTTCTTTCCAAGTGACAAAAACCAATCATTTATTGTTAAATTCTTGAGTAGGATTACTTTACAAAACAAAAGAGTACCACGTGAAAAGAACAAAAGAAACAAAATTAAAGATAATAAAAGAAAAACACGAGATGCTAGTTCCTTTCAAACACTATTAAAAGCCCCCGACAAAGGTGCCAAAAACTTGATGCAACTGTACTATATCACAACTTAGAAATGAAAAGTTGTGCATTCAATTCATACATGCATACGTCAATAACATACCACATAAGAGCAGTTTCCTAGCAACCTATAATGCAATTAAGCACAAAACTAAGATAACACATAATAGAAGATGAAAACATCATATGCATATTATTAAATCATCAAAAGTAATGCATAAAGTCGCATGGAATTCACATTCTAAACAAAAAGGACTTTATTAAGCCATAAGAGATAGGGATGATATCACCATCAATGATGAAGACATCTCCACAAAATTTTCATAGTGTAAATGTATTGTCGACTCCAGTAGAACTCCAATAGGGCTTTGCCTCTTCCAAAGAGAGCTAAAAGCATTATTTAGACTAAAGTGAATTTTTCCTCAAGAAAGAACTTATAACTTCATTACACCAAAAAAGGGTTGTGGAGAATTATACCTAGAGCTCTAGTCTAAACCTCTATTATATTAGTATCTAGAGAGTGAAAACTGTGTACAAATAATGTGATATTAGGATTTTTTTGGTCAAAAGGGGTCTGAATCCTACTCCAATTAGGTTGAGAATCGAATGTTGACTTGGGGCGAAG